TAACTTAAATAAAAATCATTTTTACGGTGTTTATTATATGTGATAAAATGAAAAATGATCGGCAAATGATCGGCAAATGATTGGCAAAATGATCTGCAAAATGTGATAAAATTAAGCATGACCGCTATGCTTATTATAATATATTTGAAAAGTTAAATTTAGCAAAATGTGATAAAAATATAGAAGAAATTAATATTGAAATTTTTATTCTTTTGAAAATATAATTTTTTTTATGTCAAATTATATAAAATAAAATTTAAAATTAGTTAAAATTAAATGATAAATCAAAATGTTAAAAATATTGAATTATTTTTAAAAAATTGAATATTTTCTATATAACAGAAACTGACAAAATTTTTTAAAATAATGCTATTTTAGTCTTTGGATTAAATGATTAAATTATAGTTTTAGACTTATTTTTATAAATCATAATCAATTTTATAAAATATTTTAATATTAATACTTCATAAATTAATGCTTATCCAATTAAATTAATTATATATAATAGTTATTAAAGAAAAAATTGAAGTATAAAACTAGAATAATTAGTTCAGATTAAGTTGAATTAACTTTTATTCTTTTATTTTATAAATCTGATTTATTTTACTTTACTTCATTAATAACTTTATCTTCCTATTTAAATAATTTAATTTTGAAAACTTTAGCATATAAAGAATTGTAAAAGGTTAAAAGAAAGATTAGATTAAGAAATACAGTTATATTAGAAAATTGACAATAAAAAATTCTAATAATATTCTTTTTTGTAAAAAATTTTTATATTGATTATTTATAATATTTGTAATATGGAAGTCGATCAGTAGAAAAGGGGGAAATCCAAAATTTTTGTTAATTTTTATTATTAAGCTAATTTTGTACACATGACCGAGATCAGCCAAGTGGTCCAATAATATAAATTTTGACCAAAATTTGGATTTCCCCCTTTTCTACTGACTGTTTTCCATACATATAATATATAATTGTTTTGAATTTTATTTTGAATTTTATTTTTTTTTTTTTATTTGTGATACAAATTTTTAATAATATATGATATATATAAATAAATAGAATTTAATATATAATCACAATATTAAAACTTATATAATTCTTCATTTTATTCTAAATATAAAACTTATTATATAATTTTACAAATTCTTGAAATCTGAAAATCATAATGTATTTTTTTTTAAATATTTTTAGATTTAAAAGTATTAATATAATTTTGTAAATTTTTTATAAAAGAACATTATATAGATGGTTTGAAAATTTATATATTTCAGATTTTGCTTTAGCTAAAAAAACAAGTTTTCTTAGTTTATTTGTAATAGCAATATTATTTTTTAAATGTAATAAATCTGAAACTTTTTTAACATTTTTTTTTATATTAATAGATATTAATATTTTAGTTAAATATTTTTAAATATTTTTATTAAAAGAAAATTGCTTTTAAATTTAAAGAAAAATCATTTAAGGGATATAATGATTTAACAAAAAAATATTCTTTAAAATTATTATTATTTTTTATTTTATTTTTATTTTTTTTTTTTTATTCAATAAAGATAGTACAATAAATAATATCATATCCTCTAAAAAATAAACTACTTATAGAGGAGAAATATAATCATTTGAGATAATGTATGTTAAAATGTTCATTTCAAATGAAAAAAAATCAAACAAACGAGTGAAATTTTTTTAATCTAAATTATGATAACAAAAAAATATATATATAATAACGAAAGTAATTACATTCTGAAGTGAAAATTTAGAACTGGAATAAGTAATATAATAAAAAGAATAGAATGTACAAATAATCAAAAAGTACTATATATATAATATATATGTATTCTTTTGTTTTTTTTTAAAAAAAAAAGAAAAAAAAAGTATGTTACAAAATATTACGAACCAAAATAAACAATAGTTTCAATTTTTCTATGGAATGTAATAAATAAAAATAAATAACCCGATTTGTTTAGATTTCCAAAGAAAACATGCCACTGTAATTATGGTTAAGATGTTGTAGATGATGTGCTTGATTCACTAAATATCAATATGTAAAGTTATAATTAATTAAAATATCAAAATAAACTAATATTGTTTCAAATTTGATAATTTTTTGATATGGACCTTACCTGTTGCCACATCCTTTTAACGCAGCAAGCTGTTGTCTCAATGATTCAACTTCTTTGTGCATTTCATCTTGACTATGCTTTAGAGTGCTGATGAACTCAACGGCTAAAAAGGGGGGAGGATTTATTTTAGTTGTAATTTAAAAATAGTCGAGTGAGAGGAAAAAATTATACCTTTGCTCAAGATCTCCCACTTGCTTGTCTTTAAACTTTTATCTACGGGTAATGAATCTCGAAGTTCATCAAAAAGTTCTTTCATTTCTTTTCTCCTTTTACGTTCAGCCAATTTATGTGATATCCTCAATTCGGGAGAACGAGAATATGGAGTTTCCTTTACTTGATTTGTTTGTTGAATGTACCCCTGATAATCATAAGTATAGGGATGATATGAATGATGATGAGATGAATAGACTTGTGTACGATAACGGTCAACGTCCATCGGCATTGTACCATCTTGCTGTACAGGATCAGAAAATCGAGAAGGAAAAGCCATTACTGGCATTGAAGCACGACGAGCCAATATAGGAGCGCTAACTTCTTCTTGCACAATTTGAGATAAACGAGGGTTACTAAAAGGAGGGTATATAGAAGATTCATTCTGTTCAGAAAGATGGGCTTGTGATATATTGCCTGACACTGGATGATCAGAAATATTATCATTATATTGATGATGGATTGAACATGATTCGGCATGAGATTGTAAACTTGTGTTTACATCATGAACATTAAGTTTAGGCAACAGACTATTTGAAGAAATAAAAGATGAAGATGGTGGTGCTGGTGGACTCGATGGAGCAGAATAAGAATTTCTACGATCATAAAGTGATAAACGTTGTATGTTTGGATCTCCAACAGATTCTCGTCGTTTTACAGGATAATCATCTACATTCACTGGATGACTTGGTACTGGAACATTAATAACATTTTTTCGCTTTAATGGAGCAACGACTTCCCCTACCGCGATAGAATGTCGTCGTGGTTGCAATTGAGCTTGAAATGCCGGATTCATTAATGGACCAGGAAAACCATCCTTGATAGGGCTTCCATTAGTACTGATAGATGGTAACGCATCCCTAAGTTTACGAGTTTCCATTGGTGAAAAAGATTGTTCACTTTTGACAGATGATGGACGTGAAAGAGATGATGAAGGGGAAGGTGGATATTGATCCACAAATGATCCACGACGTTCAGAAGAAACTGTCGTGGATGGAAAATTAATATCAGGTTGCGAGTATTGTCGTGCCAATTCTGGATTTGGAACAGATAAATGAATGTAAGGATCCGTAATTGAACCACGTCTTGGAGCGGTTAAATAAGACGGTATAGCAGAATGATGAGGCTCAAGAGGTGCAAGAGAACGAGATGTAAATGGTTCTGCAGTAGGTGAAGGAATAGAAGGAGAATGTGCCAAAGAAGTCGACGTGTTACTTTGATCGGTTGGTGAAGATTTGTATGACATGTTATTATTTGCGTCATGTGGTGGAGTTGGATTAGGAAAAGAATATTTAGACTCCGATATAGGAGCTTCCATAGATAATGGTGATGGAGAGTGCGGACGATTCAAGGCAGGTTTTGGTGATGTATATTGTGTATCTGTAATTAATGTTTTTTAAAATTAGTTGAATATCTTTTGTTATCATTGTAAATATTCATATTTTATTCAAATATCTAAAATTTCTATGTATAATTAATTTAACTAATTCATTAAATCATATATTATACCTAGCGAAATGTCCCAATACAAAATTTAAAAACCCGATGTTTTAAGAAACCAACACAAGAATATCTTGAGTGTTAATAAATATTATTTATATTGCTGCATCATTAATATTTTATACACTTTATTTGAAGCTATAAACTTACTTTGTGTAGCCGAGTGATTATTCGAAGGAGAGTTATTAGAAGAACTAACAGTGCCGTGATTATGATAAGTAGAATTATTAGGTTGCTCGTAATTTCGGTTCAAAATCTGATGCGGGCTTGGCAACTGAATTGCTTGAGTTGGCGACATTCCGCTTATAATATAAGCGAAATTTTTTTATGCCGCGAAATGAAATCGCTTAAGTACTAATCTTTATTTTTTTCGCTGCGAGTAAAACGTTTATTAAAAAAAAAGAAATTTTAACATATAGTGTTTTTTTTGTAATTGGTCTTTCAGTAATTTAAACCTTTATTTCTTTTTTATTTTTAAAAGCATTTTAGGTTGAACCTACATATTCCTGCTGACGATAAAATATTAAATAAGGTATATAATGAAGCCAATTGCTGTCTATAAATAAAAAAGTTTAATTTCCCTCCTTTTACGTTTGTCGAAAAACTTTATATTAGAGAAGAAAAAAAAAAATAAATAAATAAATAAAGTAAATTCTCAGTGATGAGGTGAAAAGGGATACATTCAAAGGCCTTTTTGTTGTTGATTGAAAACTCAGTAAATGCCCCAACACTGCCCCACGAGGATTCGTCAAATCAAATGTTGGGTTGATTTTCATATATTCAATCCTGTAAATTCTGTCTGTATCTGTAAAAAAACCATGAGTTCTTAATGCCAAACATGTGGACACAGACGAGTACTACATTGAGATTTTTTTTTTTGTCAAAAAAAAAGGGAACCAAATTTTTTAGTTTAATTATATAAAATCTAAGTATTTTAATAACTATTATCATGTACATTAGTCTAAATTCAAATATACCGATTTTATATTATAAAAATCAATAAAATTATCGAAATTATTCATTTTTTTTTTTTTTTTTTTGAATGCTATACATAATATAATATCCTTATACAAAAAAAAATAAATAAATGTACTCGGTCCACCAATGTCTAGAAAATCATATAATAAAAATATCGATGGCTACGCTTACAAATTTATTCTACATTATAATCAGAACAAAAAAATAAAATAAAATAAAATAAAAATAAAAATAAAATTATCAAATGTGAAATAAAAAATTTTAATACATAATATAATTAAGATTGTAATTATTATTTACTCTTTCAAACAGTTGTCCATCGAAGAGATTTTACTTTTAAGGTCCAACGCTTCGATTTGATAAAATTGATCAATCTGACGTAAATTGAAAACGAGGTCTAAGTGAGAATGATCCTAAATCTTCAATAGCCGAAATGTTAATATCACTTGCAACAGATTGTTGCTATTATGTTGCGATTGATACCTTTGAAATCCAGTCAACCATCTCCTGTTTTGAAGAAGCTTGAAGAATATACGCATTATTATTCGTATATATTGCGAATACATTTTGTCTCTAGTGAATATAAATCAATAAAAAAGTATTATATAAAATATTATGAATAAATCAAAAAAAAAAAGAAAAAGAAAAAGAAACAAAACCTGCAGCATGTCTTCTAAATCTTTTTTATAATCAACCCTGACCGATGCAAGGTTGATGACACCTTGCTCTTCCGTTTCTTTTTGGGACTCATAGATAAAGAGGTATGGTCTATATAAAAATTATTAAACATATCAAATGAAACGGAAGAATAAAACCTATATTGACAACACGATGATATGAAAATTAATTAAATAAATTAAATAACGTACCTCCTCAAGACATACCAACGCTTGACCCAATAATCGTTCGCATTTTCCGGTGTAAACAAATAACCTTTTTTGGTTATTGTATCACTACGTAGGTAAATTTTGGTTCATTAAATTCTTGAATTTAGTATTTAAAAATTTTTTTACATACGTTTTGCCAACCATTCGAACTTGCGCAACCAATTTAGATGGTTTTGTGTTTCTCCAAGAACTGGCATCTTGATGAGGTCCCGATAGAGGAGGCTCTTGATTTATAACAATCTGTTGTATTTAAAATTCCATTAAAATTTCTCTTTGAAATCATTATTATAAAACCGTGATAAATAAACTTAATAAAAACCTCTTTGGTTATGCCCCACTTTTTCTTCCAAAGAGTAACAGCTTTTTTAGCTAAATCATTATTAGGATTAGAACAATTCTCAAGTTTTTCATCAGAAGATACTTTGCGAGCTTCGTGTACTGCAAGTATCTGTTTTGTACACTCAACAGCCTCTTGCCTACGAATAAGTTCACTGATTTTTTTATAGTCCTTAACAAGAGATACTCCACGGGGTTTCCAATTACCCAAAAATTCTTCACCACGAACATATTTATTAGCTGTATTTAATCTCCATAATTCAGAAATCTTACGAGTCATGGGTGGTTTTAGAATTACCGAAAATAACCCACTAGATTTCCACAAAACTTTGGATTGATTTAACAATTGAATCAATTTTGATGGTGGACGAGCTTCACGACCTTGGATTTGCACTGCAATATCCATATGGAAAGAAATTGGTTCAACACATTTTTCAGCTTCAACATACCAAGTCAGACCTAATAGAACACGACTATTTGAATGTGTAGTTCTATTAAGAAATATAGAATCATGAAGTGTACTGTCCCATGAAGCCTGAGCAACTATTACACTAGTACCATCCCTGTTGAATTGAACATTTTGGGCTGGTAACAAGTTCATTTGTATATCATTTTGTACTGGTGATTCAGCTAATCTTCCTTTTCCGTCTAATAATCGAACTCTTCCTATTTCCATCTTTGTAATTCGATTCCAAGGAAATTGTCGACCAGAATTATGCGTTAGTGTAAGTACAATACGTCGCTGTAAACCTTGTCTTAAAAAAAAGGCACCGGGATCTAGGGGATTTTGAGAAAGCACTTGTACGGGCACATACTCTCCCGATGAAGCAAGCTCGCAAACCTGAACCCAAGCTACTACATCATGTTTTTCCTCGGCAACCAATTCATCCTCGGAACGGCGTTCCCGGGTGACTGAAATTTCAGATGAGCCATTTCCGTTAATACCACGATCAAGTGGTCGTTCTTTATGATCATCCCATTTTTCCATCTCTTCCAATACACAACGGTTTGCACGACCAAATACTTCGAAAGCCAACATGCCATTGATAAGCATGTCCATCATTGCAGGAGTGACAATCATCTTTAAAGGTTGTTCATAATTATAAGTGATTTTTCCGTTTCCAAAATCGCTTGCAGGATCTGTTGCGTATACATGTTCGCCCGATGATAAGGGATGTACATTACCAAAAGAGGATAACTTGAATTGTACATGAACTTGGGAAAATTGTGATTCTTTTATACCGGTGAGCTCTAAAATTTTCACTTCAAATACTACTTGACAACCGACTAATAATTTTGAAGAAATCTCTTTTGATTTATCTAAAGAATGCGGATCTTTTGAAGTTGTATCTTCGAAATCAGTTAGAAATTTAATATGAACTTTACAATGCCCTAAAATATCACCTGAATATCTACGAATTACAGGTACATCACGCACAAGTTCAGTTTTCATAAGCAAACATGTCAATCCTACGCTGGCACTGCCAACGAAAGTGAAAGTTGGGCAAGGATTTTCATAAAATGGATCTTCCCAATTGAAATGTTTACTATATTGAGGACGATCTATGAAATTATATAAATTACGCATCTTTTGTAAACGAGCTTTGAGTTTATCGAGCGACCATACATAAATAACGTCGTTTTTGGTATCGATAACCTTAACTCCAACACAAGGTTTTTTAGAAGAATGTAATGAGGTGTCGTCAGTGTTACAGTATTGATTAAGTGCAGATGTAGTTTCCCGGAAAGATATTGGATTAAGATAGGGTTCATCTTCTATAATAGTAAATTGATAAAGAATTTTTTTTCCAAGTTCTTTACTAATGACATTGGCTTCTTTCAATATTACTGCATTACTAAGAATTGTTTCTGCCATTTGGACAAATCTTTGACGTTTCCATTTCTTGAGAGCCATATGAATGAGACGTAATTCTTCTTCATTATAAGGAGGAGCATCAGGTGGTGAGTTATATTCTTCACAAGGAGCGTTAGATTGCCTTATTTTACGTTGATATTCCTGAGCCTGAACCTCAAGCATCCTTTGCATTTCTTCTTGAACCATCTTAAGTTTCTCTTCCATTTGCTTTTTCTCGGCTTTTAATTCATCAGCCTCAAGATTTGATGATTCTATCAATTTCATTTTATCCTCATATTCCTGTTTTTGCAAATCAAGCTGCTGTTGCATCTCTTCTTTAATAACTTTGAGTTTTTCTTCTAATTCTGCTGGTGGTATTTCCGTATAAGGAGAATCGATGGTTTCATAAGTTTCATTAGATCCCGGTTTATCAGATGTATGCGAAACCGTATCATCTTCAAAATCACCACTTCTGCTATCAGGTCGAGTTCTTCTGGCACTTTGAATTTTTTTTATATCATCCATCAACCGTTGTAAATCTTCATCTGGTAAAGTCCCAAATGTTGAATCTGCGCCAGAATTCAAATAATGAAGTGCTACTTCTCTTTTTGCAAAGTTCCAATCTATTACCGCTTCTGACATAAGAGAAGCTGTAGATGTCGGAGAATCTGGGGCCTTACCACTATCCTCTCCATTTCCATTCGAAGTTGGTTGTTGTGCACTTGCAATGCTAATGCTAAGTTGCTTCGATTTTGCTCGTTCTCGTCTAACTTCTTCAGGATGATTAAAACGAAACACATGGAAATCCCCAAGAATAATACGGAATCCAGATCTTAACCTTTTTGATTTACTTATACGCATACCGTTGACCATTGTTGTACTATTTGGGTGAGGATGTAACGTAACAACTCCATCTACATTCTCGAAATAACAATGCTCATCTAAAATATTTTCACCACTTAGACGTATCTCAGATTGATTATCAGATTCAAGACGACCAACTCGCGTTTGTCCAGGTTTTATTTGATATACTAAGCATTCTGACATAAGCGGATCTTCATTGAGATTAACAAGATGTGGTACTTTTTTAGGAGGATGTACACCAACCGCATTTTTTTCAACCATAATACCAAGATCTTCCAATGTCTTTTCACGTTCTCTCTGGATTTCTTCGGTCTTTTTTACTTTTTCCTGCCAAGTTTCATTTACTTCATCCATTAATTTTTCAGAAGCTTGGATTTGATCGATTAACTCCTCTTTCGTTTTCTTTATAGTATTTCCATTCCTATCTTGTAGCACAACCACTTGTTGAGAAGGAGGAATACTGGAATCATAAGAGGCTTCTCCTGCTCCTCCTTCGACGCCAAGTTTACTACGCAACATTAATAATTCTTCTTTAAGTTCACGAATAAGTCTTGCATTCGGGTCTTCGTTAACAACGGCTTTGTTTTTGATGCGTTTAGCTGCATCGGCGTAACGTAAGGTACTAAGCGTTTCATCATAATCGGCCGGAGAAATGGCAGCAATCATAGCAGTTTTAGAGTTACCACCCAAACTATCTTTCAGTAACCAAGTTAAAATCTAAAGTGAATTTGTTTTTATATTAGTTTTAATAAAGTAAATAAATAATGTAAAAATAAAAATTAACACATCAAAATTAATGTAATGAAAATAACATTACAGAATCTCTATATGGGACAAATGTTTGATCTTTTTTCTTTTTTTTACTATCACCAGAGGATTGTTCAGCTAAAGCGGCAATGACTTTACCCAAAGTTGTAAGAGATTTGTTGATATTAGCCCCTTCCTTTAACCGAGTCCCAGTTGCACCGGTTGCATTAGCACGTTCCGAACCAGCCAAATCCACAAGACTAATAATTAAATTACGGGGTTAATAAAATTGATAAGCCAAGAAACAAGTAAATAAAAAAAAGAAACTTACCTAATTCGAGATACTTTTTCCGTGTCCATATTTGTTTCAGCGTCATGCCTTTTTTGTGTTAATAACAGGGTAAATACAGCATGAGACCGACTTGATGTTTCGTTCATATTTGTTGCAGCAACTGTTCTCGCCTATTTTTTTTTTTTTAAAAAAAAAGTTAATCATGACGTCATATGCTTAAACTTATATATCTCTCTCATGGAATTTTCATATCATACCTTGTTACCCTCGTCCATTAAATTCTCAACATCCTGAAATGAAGTGACAATCAGCTTTGACAAATCTTCTACATATGGACCTAAAGCTGGATGTTCTCTAACTTTAAGATTTCCTTTATTTTTAGGGTTTAACAAATCCCTAACACGTTCATTGTAAATTTCAATATAAGAGACTTGAACTTGATAGGCCACACTAGTATCTTGGTTTCTAATTATACGATTGAATAATTCACAACAAGTAAGGGGTATAATGCCTTTGTCTTCTCCATATCCCATCTTTCATAAATATGAAATAAAAAAGTTAAATAAAAAGTTTATTAAAAAAAATTGTTTTAAAAACTTGTAATCTCTTATGTACCATAGAATAAGATTTCCCCGCGCCAGTTTGACCATCTAAAAAAAAATTATTTCAAAATAACTTCAATTATCGGTTGGTTATAGAAATTAAGGATTATAAAGACAAACTTACAAGCAAAAATGCATGTATTATAGCCTCCGAAAGCATGGTCTAGAAGCTCTTCACCAAGGTCGTTATATAACATTGCTTGAGTGGCATAATTCGAATCATTCTTATCAAAAGACCAATACGATTTATCAAACGTAAACGCTTTCACATCTTCGGCACCTTTAGCAGCTCTAGAATTTCCTGGATCATTTGGATCTGGCCTAGTAATAATCGTTTGATTACCTTCCATTCTGATGAGACACTTCGCCCCCCGGGCAAGTTCTATATAATTATCAAAGGTGAAAAATGTAAATAAAAATTGTTGTATTTTCCCCAGTTTGGCGAAAAATCTGTTGTATAGCATGTTGTATATAACTTTAAATAAGTTCATTTAATTTTACCTCTAGAATTCAAGGGCCGACATCTAACTACTACTTTAATATTTCCACCTGACATGATGGCTTTGTTAACGAGGTATTATTGTATAAAAAAAAAAAAAAAAAAAAATGGGCTTCGAAGCCCAAACTAATAAACAGATGTGTTAAATAAAGCGGTGGCCTAAAAAGAGTAGAATATTGTTGAAAGATAAATTGACGCAATTGTTTGAAAGACAATTTGATATATTTACAATTAATTTAACAATTAACAGATGTTAAAACTTTTATCAAAACTAATAATAATTTAAATTAATGACAGGTAAAAACATATTGAAATGCAGAAATTTGCAAGGCCATAAATCACAAAGGACTCGGCACAGGAACTATTGCGAGCGAGATACGTAGGGTTTATGGGCGGTTTGGCAGCAAATGTTCGTTGCACTGTTTTCCATGTATGGCATTTTTTTTTGCAATTTTCATGCGGAACATGCGAATATATGATCCATGATAGTATCAGTTATATTAAAAAATTTTAGCTTATGATTTTTTATCAGTCTTTGTTCAGTTTGATAATTCGATTGTTCTATTCTGTTTGTATTACCAAAAATGGTAGCACAGCCACACAATCCGCCACGATCGCCACAAAAAAAAAAGAAACAATGCATATATTTTTAAACCAAAATCTAACAAAGGAAAAAAAAACAATAGACAAAAAAAATCGACTTCACGTGATATTATAATTAAAGACAAAGTAAACATCTAACATCAGGTATAAAGGTTTCATTTTTTTTACCACTGCTTAGTTTATAACATTTTAGTGAATTAATATCTATTGCATGAGAAAAATAAAATAAACATAATTAGAAATATAAATTTTTTTTTTTTGGATTTCTATACCCATTGCAGTGTTATAATCAGGCAAAATATATAATTTGTAAAAAATTCTGTAATATATTTGAAGAGCAGCAAATCACAAACAAGTCTATAGGTGTCTCCTAATGGTGAAGATTAGAGATGCAGACTTATACTTTGTTATATATGATTGTGGCGTGACAATATACAGTCCATCGTTTTCCTATTGTTAGCCTATCTGGACTCTCCAAACTTTTATTATCCTTAATCCCTCGCTAAAAATTTAAAAAAATTTTAATATTATTACTACTTTCATAATTGATTCGTCAATTATAATATTTTCAATTGCTGGATTTAATAGGACCTTGTTAGCCAGTAGGAGGAATGAAAACAGACAAGTTTTGTGCGGGCTCTCAAAAAATGTCTGAGATTTAGATTCCAATCATGAAGATCTTCTCTAAATCCTTTTTCTTAAAATGTAAATTGTACTGAACGAATCAAGGGAGTCTTTAAGTTAACGAAGATCGGTCCACACGATCATATGTATCATCGAATTCCATTCCAGTATTGCCGACCTCGATTCCATGCTACAGACATCCACTCCTTGTACGATATTTTCTGAAAATATTCAACTGCGGCAGAAATTTTCATCTAAAAAAAAATTCAACCGTCAGTACAAAATCTATACTAGTACTTGTTTACTTAGTACCATTATGTCTGGCAACAACAAGACGGGTCTCTGGAAAAGAAGCCAGCAAATCATGGCACTAGGCTTTCTTTCCCTAGTGAAATCTCCGACAGTCTCCTGCCGTACATAGGTCATAAAGATGACTGCATGCGCTGTAGGATATTTGTAATGCCAAGGAGCAACCACATAAAACCATAAATGCTTACTTGTTATAGTCGGATCTCAATGGACGCGGCGGAATGAGGAAAAGGGTTTCTTATGATTGGCGCCTTAATTTTTGTAAAAGTTATTGGGGTTCAAATCAGCATGATGGAAGTCCCCTTTGATGATCATAGTTACACAATTATTTATTTTATATTACGTGTATTTTATATATATTACAATACATTAAAAACCTGACCGTTGCTACATTCTCAAGTATAAGGAAAAGTAATTTTAAATAAAAACAATTCTATTAGTAGCTCACATTTCTTAACAAAAATCGTTTTTTTTAACAACTTTTTACAACCTGGCTCAGAATAAGACTACTTACCAAAGTGCACACAAAATACAAGAAATGTATGACGTCTCAGTCGAAACATTGTGACGATAGGCTGAATTGCTATTGTCAGAACACCTGGTGGAAAATGATTTTATTCAATTACTGACATACGAGAAATCTTTAGAGACAACCAAACAGACACAAATCACACAAAAGGCCAAGATCTGTTACGCTAGAGTCAGTTCAAAACATCAACGAGATGACCTTGAATGACAAATTACAAATCTTTGACAATACTAACCAAAATACAAAATTGTCAGTAATATCAGATCGGGACTTAATTGTAAATGCAGGGGTTTGTTGCCTTTTTAGAACGAGTACACATAGGAGAAATTGAAGAAGCAGTGGTTACCCAAAAGGTTTGATTTTTTTATTTACTTTGATTTTTATTGTCTATTATTTTACTAACTTTTTTTATTAGGACTGATTGTGCCGATTTAGATCTGAGCTTGTGGAATAGATCTTTGAGAAAAATGAGACTCAGCTCGTAATATTCAGTATAGATGAAGTAGTGAAGCTGAAGAACTTGCAGAAGACTTGCTCATAGTATTTGCGGTAAGACATAATGGAACGTGTTCTGCCGCCAATCATAAAAGATGCCAAAGTCTAAGAAGAATAAGAGTTCTGATTCCAGCAATTAAGACATAATAATGTATTCGTTTTTTTTTTATGCAAGAGGAGAAGTTGAAACTTAAATGCTAAATAAGAATAGCATGATAGACTTATAATCAGTGTCTTGTAGCAGTCAAAAAAATGGGTATCAAGCAGACAAAAAAAGCTCTACGAGTATAATATCTTAACATTGCAAACTTCAATAATAATCCAAGATGCTTTAAAAGAAGAACCTAGAGTTTCTGTAAGTGAATTAGAATCTAGGTTTAAAGGTTATAAACAAGCCTCTGAACTTCAATAGCTCCTTACAATATTCGTGACAAAGTGATGAATGATTTGTTTAAATCATATTCAACACGTTTTGTTGCAAAACAGATAAAATTTAAGATAAAATTTCGCTTCAAAAAAGATTGATAATAATCTATTGCAATTTTATCAAAACATTGGGTTAAATTTAAAGAAGTTTATTATTTTTTCATAAGATAAAGTCAGCCAAAAATCTCCTAGCAGAATTCCATTATGATATATAACTTGTGATGAATCATCTTGAAGAATTTTATTTCTGTATTCCTCAATCACTTGAGATATGGGTTAAAAATCAAGGTTCTACACAATCAGAGGATGCAGTATTCACTCTAGATCCAGGTATTCATAACTGGATATGATTCAAGTGGATAAGCTGTAGATTAGGACAAAAATAATATTAGTAAAATTTATCAACTTTCTTACATATACGACAAATTTCAAAGCAAATATGACTCTATTCATGAAAAAGTACATAAACGAAAATGCTATAAACTTCGCAGAGTCATGCTTCATATTGTTAAATGAAATAACTTTCGACCTAATGATTACATTTCAATGGAAATACGATCATTAGAATCGTCTCATCGAGAGCTTTCCAACGAATATAAATACAAGGTTATTGGACTAATAGAAGTGGAGATAATTCGAAAAGAATGATTGCTATTATAATTCTGCAGATCATTACTAAAGAAAGCCGTAATTTCTTAAGTCGCAGCCCAATGATCAAAACGATCGAAACCTCGGAAACGATAATAACGTTGTTAACTAAGTTAACATAGTTGATTAAGTTTAATTAGTTTCTTATGTTTA